CACGATCACAGAGAGGCCTCAGCGCTCAAACTCAGCCTCACAATTTTCACCAACTGAGGTCAGACTTAAAGCTGCAGCCGCGCATGAAGAGCCCCTCATCTTCCAACTGTGGCCCAGCGTCCCTTCACAGAGCCCACTGCAGGCTGCGTGCAGTGAGTTACGTGTGCCAGGCAAGTTGCCTGGTAGGACATCACCACCTGTGGTAGAAACCAACAACAGAAGGAAGCTGGGAGATTGCAAGTAGCCAGCGTTTTCAAATTATAATCGGTACCACGTGGATTAACAAAAGTTCTGACGTGTTCTGACGTCACCATCGCTGTTCTGACACTGCCAACAAGTAGCCTACAGGTGGCATGTGCCCAAGTACGCTGTGGCATTTGCTTCCGAGGTCTCAGTGTGCTCAAAGACAAAATGAGAATAGCTTACAATTGTGTTGCCGTGTTTCTCACCACAGCAAGGTTGAGTGAGGTCCCTCCTAACTCTTGAGCATCTTGTGCACGTCTACTGTTGTCATAATGCTCTCGGGGCATCAGGGATGACTTTGGCCCTCGTGGAGCCCCAGGTGGCTGTGACCAGCTGGACTCGGGGCAGCAGGAGGTCTCTACAGCCTGTGTACCCACAGGTGAAGCTACATGCAGCACCCAGAGTCTTGAAGGCACCTGGAAGCCATGGCTTCCAACCCCGTCTGTTGGCGTAGACCAGGCACATGAAGAGGAAGGAGAGCTACTGACCTAACAGGAACTCCCTCCAAGAATCACACAGATATCAAGTTCAAGACTAGACCTGCCAAGGTGAGCAGGGAAGGGCAGGAGAGCAAAGCAGAGAAGAGGCACAAAGTCTCCCGCTAGAAAAGATGGAAAAAACAAGGAGAGGACAACTAGAAAGTTCCAATGTCTGCCCCTTTAAGGGCCATTAGCTTGGCTCCCTGCTCGAACCCCAAGCTGGATTACCGGGTACCAACTGAACCCCCTTTTTGACCTATCAATATGTTGTGTCTTTCCAGCCTCAGGGATTGGTCCAGGCTGGTTTGGGGCGGTCGTTTGACCTAAGTGGGTCCAGGAAGACTCAATCTCTGGGATTTTGCCAGAGCAGCCAAGTGCCCAGAGGCTGCCACTGATGCCCTTGGGGTCAGTGAACCCAGAGGACAGGAAAGCTGAGAGGTGGGGAGGTGCGTGGTTCCGAAGTTCATGTTTGAAGCTGCACATTCTACCGCATCTAACCCACGACCGGGCTTGGGAATTGCATGCGTCAATCAATCCCAACCACCCCACTCTGGTTAAAGGGCGGCTCTGTTCCTGGGCATGGAGGGAGAACCTAACATCACCGCTGGGGTCGCATCACGGGATAAGTCATCAGGTAAGTTCACTGATGCCCAGAAAATCACAAGGGAAAGACACACCGGACGGTGGGACCTCCACAAGACAGGCTTGGTCCCCCACTGGGCCTGGTGGAGTGCGGGCATTGCCTATCTTCCCCCTAATGCCTGCCTTGAGTTCACTCAGGACGGAGGAGGCCCAGGGGACCTGAGCGTGTTGCCAGCTTGGGAGTCACTGGGTGACTCTCTCCAAGTCGGATGACCTCTCCAAGGAGCCCTGTCTGTGGATCACGGCCTCTCTGTCCAGCCTTCCCAAGTTCCTCTCTCCTCTTCCAGTTGTGGGTCTTAGTGCTGAGACATGATGCCATCCGTGCCAAGTAACCCGTGCCACGATCACGCCCAGCTGAGGCGTGGGGGCACCAGGGCTCGGGGCACGGGGACGGAGCCTGTGATCCTGAGCATGCAGGGGAGTTCCTGAGAGGGCCAGGCCAGCGGACGTGCCCGGAGGGGCTCGGGGAACGGGAAGGATGCACTGGAGGAGGCCTGGGGCCCGTCTGTTTCAGGCGCAGAAGAGTCTTGTCAGGTGAGCGGAGACTCTAGAAAGCCTCCTAGCACCAGCGGGATGAGGAGCGAGGCCCTTGTCGGCCAGCGGCCCTGGAAACCGTAATTTCCCGGTGGACACGGCTGCCCACCTTTGCCAGCAAACTTGGAAGCTGCAGTGCCCAGACTGGGGGTCTGAGCTCTGGCTTATCCTCCTGCCTTCCTGGAGATCTGTTCAGCTCAAGGACTCTGCCTTTGTCTCCAAACCCCGGCATTCTGTGTAGCCTCTCACCTGCACCCGGCTCCCGCCCCTCCTCGGCCCTGGCTCAGGTGCTATGTGTCTGCAGTCTTGGCCTAGTTTTGCTCCTAGGAAGACACACTCTTCTCCCTATGCTAAAAAAAAAAAAAAATAGTATGGAACCCCAGAGGCGGGTTCCATAGGGCCCTACTGGGAAGAAGCCCAAGCCTTGGCTTCCAAACCTGGATATCTTGGCATTGTGCACCCTGTACCTCCACTCCCCAGGGCAGCCCTCCACTGCCTGGCACACCTTCCCCCTCATCATTCCTCCGTGGTTAGGAGCAGGCGTGTTTCCCACCATGCACCTTTCTGGATCAAGCCTGCAGCCTGAGCCCTGCGGAGAGACCTGCCAAGTGGGAAGCCAGGGGGAGTACGTGTCAGATGAGTCCCCTCTGGACTCTGGGAGGAAGCTTCACTTCCTGTTCTCAGCGTCAAGAGGCCGGCCCAGCACCCTGAGATGAGCATCTGGATGGGGACCACCGTGCGCTTTGGAAGAAGACTAAGTTGGACCAGACCTAGTCCAAGGCCTGCCGTGGCCACACACACTCTGCAACTTAACCTCTCTCTGACTCAGAGGCCCCTGCTCTGACAGCACCTTGGAGCACTTCACATTGATCAGCGTGTTGAACATTTTCTGTTGATGCTGGCTGTTTCAGCACCCATTATTCCCAGGACAACCCTCTCAGGCAGAGTTTACTGGATCCCCATTGTACAGATGAGAAGACTGAGGCTCAGAAAGATGCGATCACATTCCCGAGCTGGTGAGTGGCAGAGCCATGAGCTGAAGCCAAGTCCATCAGGCTGTCTAACTCCCACCCTCCCGGATGTCCCCAGTTGTCCATCCGGCGTGCCTGGCACGGTTTCTGAACTGTCCTGAGGGTAAACACAGGGTTCTGAGAAGTCAGGGTGTCAGAAGTCTGGTGGTGGGGGGTGCAGCTTACCCAGGAAGATGGCACAAAGCCACACAACGGTCCTCAGCAGGGCACCATCTGCCAATGCCTGCAGCTCCCCAGGAGGCCAGGCCCCCAGGTCCCCACGGCTGGCACGGACAGGGAGGGGTGGGAGTAGAGCTGATGAGTGGCCTCCATTCAGTTCCTGCTGCATTCACCACAAGTTAGCCAAGGACACCCAGGCCCAGGGGCCACAGTGTGATGGGAGCCGCAGGGATTCCCGGACTTTGTCCCTACTGCAAGAGGGACAGAGAGTCAAGGGAAAGACCACCCCAGCACTGGCTCCCACGCCATCCTCCCGGCCTCCTCACTGGGCTCTCAGCATCAGAGCACCTGACAGCACCTTGGGAAAGCACCCACACAAGGGGGGTCTCCCAGGACACACCTGAAATAAGTTCCCCACCGATTTTGGCAAAGTTACCCAGAGGAGAATGGGTGGCAGCAGCGTCTTCGCTGAATCAGTATTCACTAAGGACCAGCTCTGTGGCTGATCAGGGCAGTGGAGAGATCCAAACAAGGCAGCAGGGGCCAGTGCTGTGGCGCAGTAGGTCAAAGCCCTGGCCTGAAGCACGGACATCCCATATGGGCACCGGTTCTAATCCCGGCTGCTCCTCTTCTGATCCAGCTTCCCTGCTATGGCCTGGGAAAGCAGAAGAAGGTGTCCCAAGTACTTGAGCCCTTGAACCTGCACAGGTGACCTGGAAGAAGCTCCTGGCTCCTGGCTTCAGATCTGCTCAGCTCCAGCCATTCACTGGGGAGTGAACCAGCAAATGGAAGACTCTCTGTCTCTACCTCTCTCTGTAACTCTGTTTTTCAAACAAATAAAAAATAAAAATAAAAAAGATTTATATATCAAACAAGGCAGTGACAGGACAGTGGGGTGCTGGGAGCCCCAGGTATATGGCACCTCGTCCTCACTGTGTGGGAGGGTCAGGGAGAGGGAGTGGGCGCGTTGGCAGGGGACTGCCAGGGCCACTCCTAGCATCTTCCTTGTGCCTCTCACTGCCCCAGGCTCCTCCTGATAGATTGGGGGTGGAGCAGCAGAGGGTAGGTACTTCAGACCTTATGAACAATCCACCTGTTGGGACGTCCCGCCTGGCACTTGTGTCCCCCATGCCCCAAGTCTCTGCTCTCACGAGCCTTCATGCTGGTGGCCACCCAGGCTGTGGTTTGCACAAACATCCTAGCAAGCCATGGCTTCAGTGCTGGATAAAGCATCTCCCAGCAGCCTTTGCAGCTCTCTGGGCCTTGCCTGTCTCACGAGCACTCTCCTCTCTGGCCACAAGGAGTGGCCGTCTCCAGGACTGAGGTCTTGTCCTGTTGGGTGAGCTCCTTCTCCCGGGTCTGAGAATGAGAGACTCAGAGGTGATGGCAGATGGAGCTGGCCCAAGCCCTTTTACCCAACAAGACGAGAAACAGAGGCCCACTCCCTCCTCTGTAACCCCCCCATCGCTATGTCCCGTACCCTAAAGGGGGCGCCTACTAACCAGCCCCAGCCCTGCCTCCCACCTTGGGTGCCAGAACCTTCCTGGAAGGAAGTAGAAGTGACTGTTCTGGACGTAGACACACTGGTCAGGTGGTTGTCTGACAGGTAAACCCAGCACAAGCAGTGATGTCCCTGGGCTACCTTACAGGTGGCAAACCTTCCTCACACACCCACCCCTGCCTTCCCCGGCCCCTCCACCTTCCCCTGCAGACGCCAAGTGAGAAGCTGAGCCTTTGGCCCCAACAGGGCAGATTAACCCCGCCAATTAGCCACATGGCTGCCCTCTGCTCCCTCCTCCTGCGTCCCAGCCACACAGCCAGGAAGAGGGCTGGGCTCAGGCGCACGGGGCGGCGTGGGGCAGACGCGAGTGCCTACAGGGCTTGCTCATATTTAAAACTTCCTTTCATATATTTTTAATAAAACAACTGATACAAATTCAAAACCAACTTCATAAATCAAACATTATTCACCGTTGGCAGCTTCAAGGTTTGCGGGCGTTGGGCCGGGAGCGTGCAGCTCTCCCAGACGGGGCTTGGCAGGCGAGTGCTTGAGGTTTTGTGAAAGGTTTATTGGATTTCATAGTCCCCTAAGGGGAAACCCTTTAAATGTCTTTGCAATTATAAGTCTAATAACACTTTCAGCCCTTGGACACAGCCTTGACTTGACAGAGATAAGGAACTCCAAGTTGCTCAGTCAATACCGAGCTATTAATCTCTGTCACCTCGCTGTCACCGCGACTCAGGAAAACAATGTCGTTTCTTGACCTAGGTGAAGGCATGGAGTGATTTTATTCGGAATGTCAGCATTCATCAAGCCAGATTTTGTCTCCCCCTCTGTCGTTGAAGAACTCCCGGTTCTTCATCCTGCCTGGACGCCACCCTTTGCCGTGGGGAGAGCTGTTTTCAGTCCGGGTCCATTATGATTATTTAGCACTTGTTCAAGTGCAAGAAGCCTTGACGGATAAAGTTTTCCTGGCCACCAAGAGACCTGGCAGGTGAAGCGCTTTCTGCTGCTCTTTGAAGACTCAAAGCCAAGGGCGGCTGGAAATTACCCAGTGCTGTGTTTGTTTACATATTCAAATGAAGGTTAATTTTTATCCTGTCTCCGCTCAAATCTGATTAGGGTGGGGCTCTCCCCCCCTCCCTGAGTGCTGCAGCCTCCTCCCTGACCTTGAATGAAACTCAAGAAATTGTTTAAAAGCCAACAGAAATCCTAAGGAGAAACTAAGGAGGAGGCATCCAGTGGCTCCTGGTGTAGCAGCCAGCCATAGCTCACACCACTGCAGTCAAGAGTAATGGCTGTGTCTAACTTTGTCCAGCTGCAGCCCCTCGGCCTCTCCGGCACCTTGGGGCTGGTGGACATTGACCCCAAGGCCCTGGGTGCTCCCCAAGGGCAAGGGAACTGCCAGGCAAGTGTCAAAGGCATTGGTCTCTTCCCGGGCAGCCCCAGGATCCAGGCTTGGAGAACAGCTCCATGGAACCTGTCAGAGGCTTCAGGGGTAGGGGGCAGAGGCCCAGGCAGGGCTCCAGCCCCCACACCTCCAGTTATATCTGTTTCATACCATGCGCCTGTGAGTCAGGGTTTATTTGGATTGTTTTGGAGCCTGCAGAAGTCTTGGACTGGTACACAGAACAGGCCTGGAAGCATGCTTCTGCCTCCCCAGGACACCAGCACAAGACAACATCCTGTAGTATCAGGAAAGCTGTTACCTAAGGATCCCAACCAGACAGCAAGCAGTTTTAAAGATTAAACCAAACCACCACAAACACTCCCCTGTCTGTCCTGAGAAAGCTCTGAGAGCTTTCCTTTTTTACTGTGGGTGCCAGGAAGCTCGAGCCCAAATTACCTATTAAAGCTGGCACTTTTGCATTATATTTGGGTCTCAATTTTCTTCTGCTGCTTATTCGTTGGCAACTTTTAGCATGTCCTTTCCTACAGGTCACTTTGAACCCCTTTCCCAGAGAGACAGAGCTTGAATGAGTGAATAAATATTGATGAAGCCCTGCTCTGGGACTAGGCTTGGTCCTAGCTCTGCCTCTGGCTTCCCTGAGGTCTCGGTACGTATTAGTCGGGCCGCAGGGTTCTGGTAGCTACAATGAGGGGAAGTGGAACAAAGCCAGCTCTGGTCTCCCCACCTCTTCCTCTAAGTGCCCTGGGTGGCTCTATGCCCCCCACAAATGAGGGAAGCATGAGGTAAAGAGCCAGATTGCCCCAGGCACAGGGTACAGGGTGACCAATTTGTCCTGGCTTACTTGGGACTTGCCTGGATTCATCACTTAAAGTCCCATGTCCCAGGAGAGATCCTTCAGTTCCCAGCAAACCAGGGTGGCTGGTCACCTACAGGTCCACCTGCTAGCTTACCACCTAGCAGCTTTGTCACCTTGGATGAATGACTTAAGTTACTTGTACCATCTTCAAAATGGGATGATCAACAGAGCTACGTCCTTGTAGTGTCGTGGTTCTTGAGCAGGTTTCTGTTGGAGAAGCATATGGAACAATACTTGCAGCATAGAATGTTCTATATTGGTGTTTATTAAGTAAATGCTAGAACTATTTGCTTCCTGCACAAGTTAGAGAAATTTCCCCAACTTGTTATCTACCCTCCCTCTCCCACTGCCAACATTCTACCCTGAGATGCTCAGGAGGAAGCCAAGTATCCAGAGAGAGGAGGCTATCTTTGAGGCAACCTGGGAGAGGGTGGAGGCATAGCTCCTGGGGAGAGCCAAGGCCATGTGTGAGTGGGGGAAACCACCCAGCACAGAGGCCAGCAACCTGGCACTCCTCCACATCTTCTTGGTGCTTCTGGTTAAATCAGGAAGAAGGCCCGTCTACTACAGCCAGATCATCACTTACAGAAAGTGTCCTGGGAAGGCGTGGCCTTGGCTGGCCATCACTGCCCACTGCTGCTGAGAGCAAGGGCTGGGACGGCTGAGCAATTGGAGGTGGCATCCTGGTGATTTTCTGGGGGCGAGGGTTCCACTCCCGACCCACAACAGAACTGGAGCTTATCTCCCTGCAGATGAGCCAAGGAATCCCTGTCATGTACACACACCACCCCTCAGCTCTGCTCGGCTGCCCGGATCGTGTGGAGCAGGCACCTGACCAGAGTCCCTGTCCTTCACAGTACATCTGTGCTTATCAGGCAGCCACTGTGCGCTCGGCCTGGCCTGGCCCTCCAGCCTTCACTCCTCAGTCAGCAGACAAGACCAACAGTAAGCAAGACCCTTCACCCAGCACTTGCTCCTGCCTCTGACGGTTTCCTGTCATCTTCCCAAGTGTCCCATGCAGAGCCTGGCCCTCAGCCAGTTCCTCTTGGGCAGACTCCGATTCCAAAATGGAAACAAAAGATGATTGAGAGCTGCATTGTCTAGTATGGCAGCCACTTGTCAGAGTATGGCCATTTAAGTAGATTAAGCTTAAGTGATAAACTCAGTTCCTTGGTTGTACTAGCTGCACTTACCCAATGTCACGTTGGCTACTGGCTGCATACTGCCCAGCACAGGTGCAAAACCTTTCCACCATCACAGATCGCTTTACCCGACCATGCTGATCTAGGACATATGGAGAGAAACCGGAACACACGCTCTTTGAAGCTGTAATCTCCATGATCTTGGGTTCCGTAGTCATGATTGGTCTGGGAGAGTCTCAGTACAGTGCATTGATCTAGAATGCCTCCCATGTCTTCAGAATTGCCTAAGGTTGAAGACTGGTTCTTAGAGAGGGGCTTTCTCAAAGATGTCATGAGCTGAATCTAGTCCCCACCCCACCCGCGACCCCACATGATGCATGACTGCGGGAAGATGGCAAGAGAGAAGCAAAGCGTGGGAGCCCCGTTGGGAGTACCCCAGACATGAGCTCTCACTGTGATGCCTTCCCCACGGAGACCTGTGCCTTGGTTCTCTGGGCACAGTACAGTCCTCAGCATTCCCCACATTGAAGATGTAACGTTTACCAAGCTCTCTGGCTTTTTAGGTCTCTGCCCGGGCCTGGTGTCATTCAGGCAGCTGGCAAATACCAAAACAGGGTCTAGATGTCAGGCTACAAGGAAATCCAGGAGACTGTGTCAAGGAAATAAAGCAGGAAGGCAAAAACACCCAGTCTTGGAGCAGCCAAGACTCTAGACTTTGAACCCTAAGTGGGGAGTCCCTTTAGGTCGCCTCCACAAGTATACTGAAGTCATGTGAACCCAGGGGAGCCCCAGACTCAACTCCTGTAGAACCTATTTTGTGGCAGCGCCCAGGCACGGCAGGAAGCTCACCTCTGTCCCAACCATCTGAAGCTCCTGGGCCTCTAGCACTCAGGCAGAGGCTGGTGAGAAGCCAGTGTGTGTCTCTGCTCCGCAACAGTCCACCTAGCAAAGCAACACAGACCCTGTTTATAAACAGAAGGCAGTAGCCAGCCTTACACAGGGCTTTGGCTTCCTTGAGAAATGTCTACATATAGTGTTTCATTGCTTCCAAGAACCCTGGGGGGTAGCTGCTATCCACATCTCATAGTTAGAAAACATGAAGTCCAGAATGAGCCAAGTAGCTGCCCCAAGTCTCCTGGGTGGAAACTCAGCTGGCCTTCAGATTCCAAATCACAGCCAAATTAACAGAGGAGACTTCACTCTGGAAAGGAAAGACACAGATAACATTTAAAAAATTTCTTTAATATTTGAGAGGCAGAAAGAGAACTCCCATCTGCTGACTTACTCTCCCCAGATACCTGCAAAGGCCCCAAGGCTGACCACAGCCATCACTGCTGCCTCCCTCCCAGGTTCTGTATGAGCAGGGAGCTGGAGTCAGGAGCCAGAGCTGGGAGTGGAAGCCAGTATTCTGGTGGGGGATGCAGGCACCTGGACAGGCTTCCTAACCGCTAGGCTAAACAGTCACTCCACAAACAAACAACCCCACAACTAGGCAACCTTTCTTGATAATTATTCTACACTCAGTATAGAGCTGAGCCTTCCACATGCCTTATCTCATTTCATCCTCTCCGTGGTCCTATGAGACAGACTATGAACCACTCCCTGTTAGAGATATGGATACTAAGGCTGAGAGAAGTTCAACGGCTGGCCCCCAGCCATGCTGTGAGTGAGTGCAGAAGATAAAGAATTTGGTCCAATTTGCACTTAGATTGTGGGTTTATAGGCCACACTATGGGGTCATAATCTTTTCAAGTTTGAATGAGAGAACTGAAAATTCAATAGAAAATGTCAAAGAACAAATTAGCTTCTGTAATAACTCCTAAATGACCCAACTGAGCAGCTCCCTGAATAGTCCGATGATTAAAGATGTGGCCAAGTGTTTCCTTTGGTAGTAGGAAATTACCTCTGTCCTGAGAAACATTTTCTCTCTCTCCAGCTCCCTGGGGTGAGCCCAGGGGGAGAGACTCCAAGGCGGGCATCAGATGAGAGAGGAGGAGGCATTTTTGACCATGGTAAGGTGTCAGCACCCATTCCATCCATCCCCAAATGGCAGCACACAGAGAGCTGGCCCAGACAGTTGTCACACTCTGCCAGCTGCAGCTACGGGAAGGGCATTGGGCCTGGCTCCTGTGGCACACAGCCCATAAATCAGCCCCCGAGCCGGCTGCACAATTGCAATGCGTCTCTTTCAAGCAGCTCTGAGGAAAAATGGCTCCATCTGCTCACTGCAAGGTAATAAATAAAACGGAATTGGAGCAAAATGGATGGAAAGCAATTTTTGGATGATGAATTTCCAAAAGAGTTGGCCACCATTTGTGTACCTTTTCTTGGGCTGCAAATGGCTGTGTGACACCCTGCCTGGCCAATGGTTAGAAGAGGCCTAAATGGGAAAAAAAGAGTGAGAAAAAGGGTACCTCCTGATGAAGGCTGTCCCCCCACCACAACTCTCATTGCCTCCACTGCCATCGTCATCATCATCATCACCACCACCATCACCACCGCTATCATCACTACCATTACCAATACCATCACCATTGCCATCATCATCATCATCACTAGCACCACCCCCATCACCACCACCACTATCATCACCACCACCACCATCACTACAAC